ATCTATGTCCTCCTTCCTGGACTGATATTGGGTAGAAAAGTCTGGAATTAAGAGTCTATTGATAACCATGAAACTGTGATCGATTGTCAGGATAAAACTCATGAAGTCCACTCATGACCTTTAGGGAAGGAAACTGCTGTTCTTAGTTGGTTTGGCCTGCATCTGACACCAGACCCACAGTAATGTAATTGACTCTTAACTGCTGTCTGGGTAACTAAGGATGGGCAATAAAAGCTGGCATAGCAGTGGTGCCCATGTCCTGTGAATGAATTTTAGAAAATGATCCGCAAGTCTCCTTCATGAATAAAGACTCCCATGCTTAGCTGCATGGGATCTGTATAATGTGTGCACAAGTACTGGTGACTTTGTAGGGACAGCCATGTTTCAGGTAGTGGACAGTTGTGCACCTCTGAAGGCATGATGATTACCATACATTGTAGTCAATGTATGTGGTGAGAGATGTAAACCACTCAGGTGAAATTTCAGCATCGAACAAGAGAGACAGGAAGAAAACTAAGGGAACAAAAACAAAATCACATATCAAACTATAAAACTCTGTACAACTTCATTCTCAAAAGGTTTTCATAAAGCAGGAAAAAAGTGAGACAGAAACAATTCCACCATAAGCCAATTCTTATGCCAGCTTTACAAAGAAGTCACAACTCATTTTTACCTCAGCATGGAAAGTACCATCAACTACAATCCAATACCAGCTGTCAGACTGTAAGGGTTTCCATCCTGGTAAATGTTGGAAGTTGTTGGACCAACACAATGTACCATAAAATTGTGATAGAGTCTGTAGTTTTGGAATAAATTAATTGGACAGTCATAGCTGCTTACAGAAAAATAAGTTGGTTTGCAACTATTAACCCAAGCAGTCAGTTTAACAATATAGACATTGCATAGCCTCTGCTGCCATCAACATGAACACAAAAAAAACAAAGGACCATTCAAAGCTTTGAGCTTGTTCAACTTCACCATTGGATATTGGATTGTCTAAACCTCAACATTTACCAATCTTGGTTATGTAATCCTTAATCTGGCCTAACAAATATTTTATTGAAAACCAAATACTGAGATTGCTGGAAATCTGAAAGGAGAGAGGATGGAAAAAAATCTGTAATATAGAGTGGAAGATAAGAGAGACGAAATGACAAGGGAGTTGATGGTGCAAGATCCAAGAGGAGTGATAATGGGACAAATGTTTTTTAAAAAAACATGTTTAGAGCAGCTGCCATATGAAAGTGAAAGACAGAAAAAAGAAATATGATGAGAAAGATTATAGAGTGAAACTACTGAACTCAAAGGTGAATCCACAAGACTGAAAAGGGCATAATCAGATGTCTTCAAGACCCCAGCTTCACTTCACCTGCTTTTTCCCCCACATTCTGCTGAAAGATTATTGACCTGAAATGAATGTGTCAAAAGTTTCAGTTCTGAAATTCTCAAATGGACCCCAACCTGAACAGCTTCCCTTTTGAGGCCGTGGGTGAGTGAAAGGAGGGAAGGGCAGTGGAGGAAGAGCTCCAGATTCAGTATAAAACTATTTCAAACAAATGACCAAATCTGCAAAGTAGGACTTCATTCAGAGAAACATGACAAACTATAAATTAGATCTTGATCATATAAACTTCCAACAAATGTTATTCTGTTACACTCAACACAGGCTAAGTACCACATAATTCTATTTACTCACTATTGCAGTCATGAATTCCCCATACAGGGGGACCAGTTATAGCTGAATCATTAATTAAGCAGCAAAAGATATCTTCAATCAGGATGCCATTACTGAGCCACAAATTATACATTTAATTGTTCAAGAATTAAATTCTAAATACCGATATGTCCTATAGTATCAACATTTTCCCCAGAATTATTAACAAAAATACATCAAGATTAAACAACACAAATAATATTGATTCTAATTTAGACACTTAAACTGACTGTTCGGACTTTAGGGTTTAATGGAAAGAATGACAATTTGGATAGACTCTAAAACATTAAAATATCTTTTATGCCATTAGTTTTGAACAAAATAGGTTTGTTTTTCCAGTCTGGAGTCTACTCCTTGTGCATATGTTGATGGGGGAAGTTCTGTTTTATCAGTAGAGACACACAGGAAATGCTAAGTTAAGGCAGGAACTACATGCAATCTTGGTTTGTTGCTCACTGGGCCATTTCATCTTTCAAAAGCAGCTCACTCAATTTAGCTTTTAAGTTTAACAAATGAATTCCTCTTGCAGTGCAGTCTGAAACACAGCCCAGTGAAAACCTGGACTAGCAAATCAATTAAAATTTAAACAAGACAATTTGCAGAGACAAACATGTAAATATTAGCAGTACAAAACAAAAATGCAACATATTTTATCAGTAACAAACTGTTTATCAACTCTTCCCTGCTGCCTTCTACACTATTCCATTATCAGAATACAATGCAGGCGTTGACAGGGTGTAGTGACAAACAACAGAAATCCTGCGAAATATCTTGCAACTGATACAGGTTGGTTAACAAGACGAAGGAAACATGTGGAAATTGCAGTACAGGACTATGAAGAGAACCAAATTTCTCACTGACAGTTGCATATGTTTCAATGTCAGTTCATGTTTCAGAAATACACCTTTTCAGAGATTTAACTTAAAATGCAAATTCAGTGGGGGGCTAAAGAACCCAAAAAATGATTTTTCTAACCAACCTGTACACAAATGGTGAACCTGGCTATCTGGAGGCTGGCACACAGGCATACAAAAATTACAATTCAGAAGGTAACATATTGACTGAATAAAAGTCAAAGTAAAAAGACCAAATGATGGGTGATCTGACTTGGCTAAATATCTGGAGACATGCCATCTGCAGTTATTCCAGTAAGAGAGATGTGCATGATGTGGTTTCCCAGAATCAGGAAAACCTTTGGAATTCAAGGCTGTTTTTTGCATTTCAACCCAGGAACAGGTAGTATGTGTCACATTGTCATGGAAATGGCTGGAACTTGGTGAGATTAATTTCCGAGTTATCTTTGCAAATTCATTAGTGTATAGCAAGCAGGAGAGACTGTTAATGTGTGGGGAAATAAACAAGCAGTCTACAATCTTGCATAGCTTGTAGTTCCTTTGAAGAAATTGAGAGATAAGGCCCGGCCTACAAATGAAATAAAGGTTAAATCTATCATCCATGACGTAGCCTCTGATTGGAAGCTGGTATTCAGCATGAAAAGAATTTGATAAAAGAAAAACAATGATAAACATTTATATCACTAAAGTAAGAACACTACAGGAATTCTCTCAATAAAGGCCATTAACATTCTGGAAATAGAGTTTGGTTGCAGTTTGAAACCATTACAGTGGGTTTTAATAGCACCATGCTATTTCTGGTGTTTAAGCTGCTGGATATGATTCAAAGGGCGGTCTGCACCGGAGCTGTGAAATCTGTGTCATGAGGTCTGTGAAGAAATTGGAGGGTCATTTAGCCAAAGATAATGAAGGACCTCCATAACATTTTATACCTTGCAGATAAGCCAGAAAATTGAAGAGAAATCAGTAAATTCCAGAGTGGAGATATACATTTTGAGTTAGTCCTAGGAAAAGTAAATTAAGGAAATGCTTTGTTGAGGGGGTGGGTGGGGAAGAGAGGGAGAAGACAAAGTATAACTGATTTCATGACACTATAACTAGGAAAGAATTATGCTCTTAACGGAGCTTACTTCAATTTCCCTTTACATAAATTTTATTGCATGTGTTTGTTTTAAAATAGTGAAATATCTTTTAAGTTCCTCTATGACTACATTTCAAAGCAGTCTTACAGAGGTAGTGGGTGGGATTAAGACAGATAATTAGTAAAGGAAGTCATCATCAAGTATACGGAACCGAACCCCTGGTTTCAGACGATGCTGGTAAGATGCAATGAACCTCAAGGAACTCCAGAACTAATGGTGGAGGAGTGGGAATAGAAGTCATTGTTGAAGTTTGTTTGACTCCGTTAGCATTAAGAATGGAACTAGGTAAAGGCAATCAGCTAAGGAGAGGAATGATGTGATGAACTGCAAAGGCAGCAGTCAGGGAGAATGAGAAGGAATTATACAGCACAAACTCAGCTGCACTAGTATTGGGACAGGGCTAGAAATCTTATCAGACAGATTCAAACAAAGATGCAAAGGTAGATAAGGATTTGAGAGACAAGACACTCAACAACTTGACACAAGGAGACATCCAACTGGATCAGTGGGTGGCAGGTTTCTTGAGCAAGTTGTTGATAACAGCAATTTTGAAAAAGAGTCGGACAGTACCTAAGGAATGGGAACTATTTCAATTATGGGTTGCCATAGGAACCAGGAAGAGATGGTTGATGGTTAATAGTTCAGTGGGTTTAGGTTACAAATCAAAAGTAATATGAAGGAGGATTTTTCTAGTGAGCAGCAGCTCTGACAGAGTTGAGGTTTCAACTCCCACTTGAGACAGGAGCACAAAATCTAGCCTGATATTCCTATAGCATACAGAAATAGGAACTTCAGCTCAATTTGAAACACAAATTAGACTTTGATGAACATGGCAGCAGCCAGACATTGCCAACAAACTACAAAATTGCTGCAAAAAGCATTTGTCATCACAACATTGCTTTATTATGTGACTCTGTACAATACAAACAAAAATACAGAGATGGCTAACATGTATACAGCTAAATGTGACTCTTTGTCCCTCCCACCCTCCCCCAACCGCCCTGCCTTTGGAGACCATAAATTCCATTGAGTAAAGAGATCCAAGCTTGATTGCACTTTGCTGGAGAATGGTGCATTAATGGCTCCAGAGTTTACATGTAACGAAGTACGTGAAGTCAGTTACAATAAAATGCAAGAAAGTATGTTGTTGAATTCCCCGCCCACCCCCCTCATTATTTTCTAACATACAAAAGCTATGCTTTTTAAAATTTTTCAGCTGGGCAATATATGAAGTATCTAAATTAATTGTTACAATAAGTGAAGCCGTTACAAAAAAGGTAAATGAGTTGCTAGAGAACATTAATTATTTAATGGAAACAGCGAAAATCTAAGACAATACATTATGCGAATGGCTGAGTTTCCACACAAGCCCTATAACATTTCTGTACATTGTGGGGACAGGAGAACACTGAAAGGTGGAAAAGAAACTGGTGCTGCCCAGAACTAAAATGTGTTAAGACAAGACAATGCTATAGCTGCGCCATGAGGTTTTTGTGTTATTTCTGAAGCAGAGAAAAGCTGCAACAAGTTATAGCACTGTTTCTTATAAACATCATTCAAAGTTCCCACATCTATGGAAGAACAGTCAATATTCTGTAAACAATCAACCACCAGAACATGATTGCATGACAGTAACACATTTATCTGCATAAAAAGGGAGGCATCAGATTTTTGTTTAAAAAAAATTCAGATGTTGTGTCTCTACATGCATTACCCTAGATAACTCAATACTTTTCTAGCTTCCTATTCTAGAGACTACAAATAGAAATTAATGTACAAACATTGTATTAGATTGGCCATATCACATGCTAATACATTAACATTATAGAGATAATAGGTGCAAAGTTGAATCCTTTCAAAATAAAGAAAAAAATTAAGTCCAGGGCCGACAAATTGGCAAGTTTGTAATTTGGTGGTCTTCAACGTTTTAAAAGATCTTCCCTTTCTTCTTGTTCTTTTCCAAGGTCCTTTGAAATAACAAAATACATAAACATCAGTAATACTCATCACGTAAGTTGCTGAAAATAGAACAATAGAACTTTTAAAAAAAGTACATATCTTAATTCCTTTGATGCCTCAGTTGGAATATGCTAAACACCAACGTTTAGTTAATTGGCGTCAGCTAGAATAGCTTACAGGCATAGCAATAATTAATTATCTTGAAGGCTGTTGTGATGCAATGATAGTCTCCCGATCTGACCCAGGAGGACTAGGTTCAATTCCACCTGCCCAGAGGTGCATGATGCATCTCTAAATAGGTCAATTAGAAAATATCTAGTTCAGTATCTCAGGATGTGGGTAGGAACCAGGCTATTGTCAAAAAGCAGGGGCATTTTGGGGATTAGACTACTATTATAGAAGGAATTAAACAAGTAACACTCTTGCCACAGAGTTAGTACATCATGGGTTCAATTCCTTTGCAGAGCCTTGAACAACAGAAATCCAGGTTGGTGCTACAGTGCTGTATCGTGGGAGTGCAGCACCAAGGATAGTGTGCGCACACACACAAGATCCAAATCATCGTGTAGCACTGTTTAAAAGAACTGAAGAGTTCTCTACAATATCCTGGCCAATATTTATCCCTCAGTTTGAATCTCACTGAAGCAGACTGATTCATCAAATGCTATCTATGGAATCTTCTGCACAAATTTGCTGAGATGTGCTTTCAACAATATCATTGTAACTACACCTTTATACGTACTTCATTGGCAGTATTCCTCTTTGTATCTTTTAGTTACCTCAAGATATCCCAATGTAAATAAAAGTCTACCCTTCTTATATTCATGGTCAAAGGCAGCTAATACTCAAAGCCCACAAGAACAGTAATGTGACAAGTTACCAAATACCTAACATAACCCATGGTTATCGCTTGAAATTACCTGCTGCTGGTTCAAGTACTAAACAGGGCACAACTGGAGCAAATAGTACTTTATAGCAAAAGTTTACACCTTGCCCCATTACTGGGCAGCAAATTTTACGGTCAGCTATATAGAGGTCAATGAATCCATTGGTGATTTGCTTCTCTTTCAGGAGTCTGTAATTTGTTGAACAAGTTAGAAATTGCCACTCGAACTGACTATTTCTAATAGTTCAGATGTTGGAGGATTGTACAAAGACTAAAGCCAATGTCAACTTATCAGAGAAAACTGTCATTGTCTGAGAACTGTAAATGGAAAATACAGAGCAGTGAGCCACAGATATCTTCAGAGTTCACCTAAGTGAAACTTGTGTTGCCAGAAAACTGCAGTTCTCACGCACTGAAGCATGGGCAGTTTACGATTAGGTCACAGTTTCACATTGGAGTACTGTGTGCTGATTAAAGGCATGCTGTTTAAAGCAACAGCATGACAGTCAGGGCACAAAACCTGTTTTTTCCTGCTCTTGTTGAGATTTCCTTAAGGGCCATTTTGCAGGTTTTTATGGGCCATCTTTTCATTCTCACTAACTCTACAATGTGACAGTATCATATGGTAACACTACATACTGTATACATGTTGATATGCGCAGTATTTGGACTCAAGCAAAATGAGAAGAATTCAATATTCTCCATAATTATCAACCCTCCATTAAATTTAAACACTCAACACGCAAAACATCAATTTTCTAGACACAGTATTTAAGATGGCACAAGTACACAGGTGTCAGCAAAAGCTTCCCACTATTTAACACCACCCCCAAAATAAAACTAACATACATCTACACAGAAAAAGTCACAATCCTACATGCCTTCCAGATCAGTGAGGTCACAGCATTTGCGTCTCAATGGCATAGACTACCATTTTTACTGCATTTCTGATTTAAATGTAGCAACTGACAAAGTATTCATTACAGTGGCATCCATAACATTATCCCATATGGTAGACCCTGAACATCCTGAAGCTGGAGATACCACATTCATTTACAATTAGTTACCTCAGTAACGTTTCAGCTTTTCCTGGCTCACAGTTTGTTCAGTGAACTTTGTTGCCAGATTTAAAATATTCTGGCATCTTCGCAGCCAACCAGGTTTTTCCATGCCACTGACTTCACAGTTTCATGCCCATCTCCCCACCCCATCCACTTACAGCCTCCTTGTCACTCCAGTCTACCTCCTATGAAGCCTTGTTTTCTCCCACATCAACTTTATAGCCTCCCAGTCTCACTCAAACTTCTTGCACTATTCCCCATCTCAGCATCCTCTGTCTCCTTGGCAGCCACCTCCTTCCCATTCCCAAAACCTGCTCCACAACACACCCTGGCTGGCAGATGCCAATACTTTACAAAATGCTCACTGACCCTCCTATTACAGGCTGCTTGCTTCTCTCCTGCATTTGTCACTACTCATCAGCAGCAAACATGGGAGAGAAGAAGCCCGTGACAGGAGAAGCAGCTCCTCACCATTTCCATCAATTCCACCTCCAAGAGATAACCTTTCTCTGGTCATCCCACCAGTAAATTTTCCACGACATTTTGGAGACAGTTTCACCCACCACCCTGTACATTTTGAGCAGTGGTGCAAAATGTAGACAACACCTCTGTGTGAGGGAAGTTAACTAGTGATCAGGACAGCTTTGAAGGTGGAGAAAATACTTTCACAGGAACTATGACACGGATTAGATTTAGTGAGAGTTTTTAGTTAAATTATGAGGAATTTGAGTGAATAGGGTAGTGTGTGTGTTCTGGAAGTGAATGATGCGGAAACACAAATTTAAAATAATTACAGAGGAGATATTTATTTATATACAGAGGTTGTTAGCAGCTTAGATTTAATCTAACAATTGACAATATACGGCTATGGGGAAAATTAGGAGAGTTGGGCTATTTTTGGTTAGCTATAACAAATAGGCAGAAGGCAAATGTACTGAATACACTCCTAACATGCTATAAAATATCTGTAGCGCCAAGCGCTGACACCACCACGATCACTATCGTTACTTAAATCCAAAAATGGTCAATCAACACATTTGTACAGAATCAAGCATGTGATGGGGGAGGGGAGGTTGTACCTGGTGGAATCTAGTTTTTGTTGCTCCAGAATGCGCTGTTGAGCCTCCCAATTCTGTTTCTCATCTTCAAACTGGCGTCGTTTTTCTTCAAGTTCTTTGTGCTGTGCCTCTAAATTCTTCTTCATTTGCTCATGGCGTCGCTGAAGCTAAAAGACACAAAGCAATTACGTTAAAGTGGTTTCAAATCACTGTTCCCAAAGTGGTGTCCCTGCTATTTCTTATTCCAACATCTTGCTGTCTTCTGCACCCATGTTATACCTAAAACGTTGTGATCATTCCATACTCTTCTGGTACGAGGATCAAACATCAATATTTCACTGCAGAGGGAAGGATGAAGGAGCAAGTTTCGATAAGATGTCACTTTGTCACTCATCCTCAGTTCAAATACTTCCTGCTGAAATTTGCAGATTAACTAAGCTGTTTCCCTCCCCCATGAGCCCCAATTAATGGTTAAAGCAAACTGATGGGATCTGCCTAGTTATACTTCAGAATTTGAGAATTATTGTACTTAGTGAAGCAATCTCACATTGCTACATCATAAGTAATGCCTATTTTGAAATCCATGGATACAAATGTCAGAAAATGAAAAATATTTTAATACCTCTGCTTCAGAATCTTTCAACTTCTGAATCTTCTCTTTAACTTTCATTTCAAAGACTTGTTCCATTTCCATCTCCATTTTCTTCATCTTTGCCACATGCTCTCTCCGTTCTTCCTCCATCTGGGCCAGAGGGCTTCTACAATCAGTAAAGAGGATTCATGAGTTAGTTTCATATCATACAATACAGGCACATTAAATTTTGAAATACTGTTTTCAGTTTCAGGTATGCCAAACCCATCATAAGTACGTCAATGCAATCAAATGCTTTCCATACCATCTGAACTTTGAATCCAAAAGAGAAATGAAATAAAAATGACTTCTTCATATCTCTGGAGAAATCATTGTCCTCACACCTACCAAGTCAACATGAAAGTTCAAGGACAGAGGGACATTCTCCCTTGTGAACACATTACATCAGTACATGAATGCTGAGACTGACAGTTTAGTTTCCCTAAGGGCTTCCTTATTTCCTTAGTTATTTATGCTAACAGCTCCAGCTCCTGTTACAAATTTAGGAAGATTTCCTATTAAGACTGCAAAGGTGTAGTGTTTTTCTCTCAAGTAAAACACATGTAGCTGATTTTACTGATTAAACTACTCATTGATTGGACAGTGAATGAAATCTCTCAAAACTGTGGCAAAACATTCCAGAAATAAGATCCAATTTCAATTGATCCAATTGCCTATTTCAACAGGAAACTTAATACTTGCACTCGACTCTCCTCAGTATCTACAGCCAAAGTACTTGACTGATAGATATATCTTCATCAGATGGAGAGAAAAGGAAAGGCGAGTGTTGCAAAGCATTCGTTGACCTCCCAGTGGCACATACACCCAATGAAAACATCTCCAGATTTGAAAATATAGATCACACACAAATTAATTAGCACTCAAATTTTAAAAACATGCTGGCAAGTTTACACTGGGACAAGTGATTTCAAAGCTAAACATCAATAAGATCACAGGATTTCCGAAGCCAAGTGATCGATACCTAGGTAAAATCGGAAAAGTAGTAAACGGGAAATGCAAGGCCAGCCAGATGAATCTTGAAGAAGAAAATCCCAGTCATCCTGACAGAAATCGTTAAGTTTCAAGATCAGTGTACTAAAGGTAACAGCAATCAAAAGAAGTTGTTCTGCGTTATTGTACGACACCACCTTGTATCCTTTGATTAAAGTCACCAGCTTCCATTTCTCCTAGATAGCCAATCAGAAGGATGCAATCATAAACTGAGTCATTAATATCAATGGTGATGATGGCAGCACCATTTACACCTTACTTCCAATGAACAAAAAGAGTGAAGAGAGAAAAGGTTCAGTGCATTATACTGTTGAACAACAAGAAACAAGACTATTGGATGACATCCACTCCTAACAGGACTTGTGTAACTGTGAAAACAGAGGAAAGCAAAAAGCAGTTCAAGGCCTTACATACAAGCATCTATGCATCGAAGTATTTTCATCCTTCCTGTCATCCACCCATACATTTACAGAAAATGTATGTTTAACTAGCCAAGAACATCTGCTATGAATACTGTTCCAAAAATAACATTGCTGAATTATAAAAGTCAAACTTATAACTTCTGTAAATGTCTAAAGAAATTGCGTATATCATTCTATTGTGTCAGTTTGAAGTATTTAAGTTTACTTTCTCATCTTAGACATTATATACAGATATTTCAATCATTCATTGTTTCTATCACCAATTTTTGACAACATGATATATTTTTGGAACAAGCAGCGTTGTTAAAATTAAGAACACCTTGTGATGATAACAAAGAAATCCCCACTCGATGTCAGCAAGTTAATACTTTTGCGTCCAATGGAACTGAAATTCAAGTTGATGCTTAAACGTATTGGGACAGTCTTACAAATAATTTAAACAACCACTTACATGCCTTCAACTGTGTCAAATCTAAAAAGAGAAAGATACACAAACACTTAGGATGAGGAAAATACAGCTTTGCATTAAATTACATGGAGAGGTTATAAAGATGAAATAGAACATGTAAAAATCGGATATAATGCGATTTCATTCAGTGGCTCAAATGTGTAACATTCAAGAATACAAATCTACAAATATTCAGAAGTTCCCATGATATGCAAGGTACCCAACTATAAATTGAACTACCTACTTCCTGCCCTGCCACTAACTGAAATTAACTGAAGTGGCTAAAGAATTTAAAATATAATTATTTGGTGGGTTTCATCTTTGGAAGACTGTTATATAAAATGCTCAGCTACCATATGAAAATAATTTGGCATAAAGTTTCACTGTTTAGTGAGATGGTGATAGCAGAAAAGAAATGTATGGCTCTTCAGCTATTAGCCTTATTAACTGCTTGCAAAACTAATCTGCTGGACAAGGCATAGGATAGGAAAAAAGATAAGAATCTGACCTTCTGCTCTTCACTGTCCTGAATAAGTCTGAGTCATTAAGAAGCACAACTTGTTTCAAAGTGCTACTTATCATATTTACCTCACAGCAGACATTTAATTGTACATATTACCTTGCACATCACAGGTATTCTGACTAAGTTGGCACAAGTCAACTTTATTCACAATCACTTTATATTCCAAATTTCTTGGCTTGAATTCCTAATCTTTGAACAACTTATTTCAGCTTTAGAAAGACAGTATTTCTTCTGAACAGTACACTCAGTTTAGGGTTTAAGCTGCAAAGCAGCCTCCGGATTTTGAAAGCAATTAAATTTGATATTCTTTTACCATTTTACAGTTTTCAAAAGAAAAGTTACCTTCAGAAATACTGTCTTCAAACTCCATGTTTTTTAAAATGTGTATTTCCTTTATACCAGTCATGTGAAAGAACATGGTTAAAAACATGGGCCAGTGAAAATAATTCTTAAATGTTAGCCCAAGAACAATATTTCAGAATGCATATTATCTTAAAACTGCAGTAAAATTAGCTCTAAGAAATTTAATAGTTTAAAAAACAAAAAAGTCAAATGACAACAGCTAAACACTGCGCTCACTTCCACCATCATTTCCCACAAAACAATCACTGTCATTCCTGCCATCAAATCCAAGTATGAAGACTCAATAATTCTACACCAAATCGAGCATTAGTACAAGTTGATCTTGTGCACTGTCAAATACTATAGGTTACACTGAGTCATACAGCACAGATACAGACCCTTCAGTCCAACTCATCTGCGTCATATCTGCATTGACCTTGAAATTGCCTGTCCATTCATTTGGTCGTGATCGAGTGCATGGCATGGACAATTACAGAACGAAATGGTTAAATATCTCGGTGTCAAGCTGGATGAACACAGCAGGCCAAGCAGCATCAGAGCAGGAAAGCTGACGTTTCGGGCCTAGACCCTTCTCCAGCATCTGCAATTCCTACTATCTCTGGTTAAATAGCTCATTGGTTTGGGATAGCAATAGAGTTGATGCTCTCTGGAGAAGAAAACATTTATGCACCCGAGTTCAAAAGCTGCGTATGTGTTACAATATCTCATGTCCCATCTCAAAAGAAACTCCATATCTTGGCTAAATGCAGATCAGCAACATTCACACAAGCAAATAATGACAAGTCTCTTCTTACGTAAGAGATAAGCCAGACCTTTTGAGCATTCAAACGATTGATGCCGATTCCCCATTTGTAAAATATTCTAAAGCACCCACAACTATCATTCATGACTCTACAACAGCAAATTCCACTCAATCAGTTCAGAACGCACAAACTTTTGGGAAGCTAAGTGCTTCTTGTGGAAATGGAACAAAAACAAAGCATTTTAAGCACAACAGATTGTACAAGGTTTTCAGATGCTTGCTAGCTGGGAACATAATGAATAAATGAGAATTTCATTGAAGCATGTGGGAGAATTTTCAAAAATCCTTTTCAGTAGTTTGGATGAACACCACTTACTTTGTGTAAAGAGGTCGAAGCATTGAATAAAAGCCCAAAACAGTAAAAGAGGATGGAAAGTAGTTTCTTACTTGGTCAACTGTCCTTTGTTTTTATTGTTATCGACACCATTATATGTGACTGCAGCCAATTTTCTGCTCCTGTAGTTCTCATAGTGAACATTGTTCGTTACATCTTTCAGATCTTGCATGTGAGTTCTGTGAAGACAAGGAAACTAGAGGTTATACAATCCTCTAAACGCCATTTCAATCAGTTTCCAACTACATAAGTCATTGTTAATATTTGGCCAAATTATCAAATACTTCATTTTATAACCATTAACCAAAAATATTGCTGAATACAACTTAAAGTGACTCCTAATGCAAGTCTGTTTCAGTTTAAGCCGTTTATCTGAAGAATTATATTTCATTTTAAAATCCAATTCTGCAACAAATCTCAAGATGGCTGACAGGTTAAGTGAATTTCAAAGCTATTATATTGAGAAAAATCACAATGATGAAACTGCCAAAACTTTACAAGTTGGATATCTCCAGGAGTTTCACCAATCTGCGCCCTCCTCACCAACCTCCAGCCTGTGTTCATAAAACATCATGTTCTACACATTAAAAAGGCATGACTCCATCTTAAAATAAACAAGCTTTCAGGCTCCATGTGTGTTTGAATGAAAATTAGTCTACACAAAATGTGCATTCAAAAAGACAAATAGCACAGTCTGCTCCTAACAGCTGGTTTAATAGTTTCAACTGAGATAGGTCTACATCAGGTGTAGGATGCTAACTGTGCAACTAACCTCCAGAGGGCTGGCATAGAACTGCTTTTTCACAGCATCTTTTCCAGAAACAGTCAAGCCTTGTGAATGCAGAGATGCAGCACCAAATGGCTGACAGCCATTCAACAATCAAATCTTTATGCTACACTTGCTAGTGCCGATCTTGTAGAGGAATAGAAATAAGCCTGCAAACTATTAACTCTATTCTTTCTTGTAACACTGAAGCAGAACACAAATAGCACTGTAGTCTTCAAACTTATGAAATAGAGAATACAAGACTATAGCAGAGAGTATTTGTTCCTTTTGAAACGAGCCAGTTTTTGAAAAAAGACTTTGTTCTAAGCTCCTATTTTTGTTACAATGCCAAAGTAAATTCCATTAATGTTCAAACTAATCCTCAGAGATTCCCTAGGTCATGCTTTAAAACTCAATAAAAGATGCTAACTTTCTGAAATGCAAACAAAAAACCAAGCTTTTGTTTTCGCTTGCTCGAGTTTTTCCACACCCAGAACTTAAGTTGAAGAAATCTGTACGCCAAAAGGGTAGAATAAGATTTATTCGATGACCTGATACTCATCCATTTTATATGACACCTGATATTGTGCTTATTTTCCAAATTTGAAACTCCCATTTGTGAATGTGGAATTTGAAGTAAACAGTTCAGCAATTCCCGTGGCAGAGAATTCCATGGGCTCAACACTCTCTGGGTGAAGAAATTTCTCCTCATCTCTGTCCTAAATGGCCTACCCTGTATGTGACTCATGGTTCTAGACTCCCCAGTGATCAGGAACATCCTGCATTTACCCTGTCCAGTCCCGTTCTAAATTTAGAGGTTTCTACGAGATGCCACTCATTCCTCAAAACTCCAGCAAATACAGTCTTAACTAATTCTCTCACTTCATGTCAGTCCTGCCATCCCAGAAATCAGTTTGGTAAACCCCTTTGTTGCATTTCCACCATAGCCAGAACACCCTTCCTCCGATCAGGAGACAAAAACTGCACAGAGTACTCCTGGGGTGGGTTCAACAGGACCCTGTACAATTACAAAAAGACATTGCTGCTCCTGTACTTCCTCTCACTAGGAAGGCCAATATACCATTTGCCTTTCACTGCTTGCAAATTTGCTTTCAGTGACTGGCGTACGAGAACACCCAGCTCTCAATGCACATTCTCCTCTCTCAATTTATAGCCAGATAATAGTCGGCCTTCCTCTTTTTACTACAAAAATGGACAACCTCACAATTATCCCCCTTCTACTACATTTGTTCACTCATTCAGTTGGTCCATATTTCACTGAAGTATCTCTGCATCCTCCTCACAACTCACCCTCCCAAAGAGTTGCATGTAATCCACAAATTTGGAGGCATTATATTTAGATCGCTTATCTAAATAATTTTTGTTCATTCAGATTCTTTCCTGTCTGCTAACCAGTTTTCTATCAATCTCAATACACTAACCCCAACCCAGGCACTTCAAAAACGCCAATCTCTTATGTGGGACTTTGTCAAAACCCTTCTGAAAGTCCAAATAAACTAGATCTACTTCATCACCTCTACTGGTTACATCCTTGAAGGATTCCAGTAGATTTGTCAAGCATGACTTCCCTTTCATAAATCCATGTTGACTCTGTCTGACAGAGCCACTGTTTTCCAAGTTCTCTGCTTTGAAATCTTTTATAATGGACCCCAGCATTTTCCCCACCAACATCAGGCTGACTGGACTATAATTCTCGGTTTTCTCCCGGTCTCCCCTTTTAAATAGAGCGATTACAAAAGCATGTGTGGAACGGGCTGCCAGAAGTGGAGGAGGAGATTGGTACAATAACAGCATTCAAGAGGCATCTGGGTGGGTATATGAACAGGAAGGGTTTAGAGGGATACGGGCTAAATGCTGGCAAATGGGATTGCATTAATTTAAGATATCTGGTTGCCATGGACGAGTTGGACTGAAGGGTCTATTTCTGTGCTGTACAGCTCTATGTCTCTGAGTACCATTTAAAGCCATTCCGCACATCCCTCTACATAAAATCTGCACTAATGTTTTTGCCCTTAATGCTTCTCAGTTCTTATTGTTGGAGATAATACCCATCTGCACAATTCTGTCAATTTCCTCTTTAACCAGCAATACAACATCACCACATTTTCCTTTGTGTCTATCCTTCCTAAATTCTTTGGAGATTGAGTTCCCATCCTTGCTCATGCCATAGCTACATCTCCATACCTCAACGATGTCATACCAGTTTTCATCTGGTTGTGCAATTAATTCATCCACTTTATTGCAAATGCTGTGCACATTAAGGCTCAAAGTCTTAAAGCTTGTCTTTTTAACACTACTTGTTCCACTCCCATTATTTTCACTGTGTCCCTATTTGATCCTGGCCCCTCTGCCTATCACTTTTCTTGATCCCATCTACCCCTTGTTCTTGTCCTAATTCCTCTTTCTCGGACTCCTTGCATAGGATCCCATCCTCCTGTCATCTAAGTTTCCACAGCCACTCTAGCAAATATTCCCCAAGGATATCAGACCCACTCTGCACACATGGAACCCGTACAGTTATTTGTTTCACTTCCCCCAGAACGAGTACTGTTGCCGGAGGAATCTGGAACCATGCACCTCACACCATCTCCTCAGCCATGTATTTATCGGATACATCCTATTTCTTTTGACTAGCACACGGCACTGGTGACAATCTTGGGATCATTATTTCCGAGGTCCTTCTTTTGAACTTATGTTTTAAAATACGTTATTTGTATAATATGTACCACAATCTCTGGCAGTCTACCCTTTCCCCTCCAGATGTCCTTTAGCTGTTCTGAGACATCTTTAAGCCCAGCACCAGGGAGGCATCCTAGAGTCTCATTTGCAGCCAAGGAAAAGCTGGTCTATTCCTGGAAACGAAAATTCTTTGTCAGGAGATGCCTACAGGAACAGCATCAGAAAGATTCTACACGCCCCGACACACTCATCACACTACCCTACAATCAGGAACACGTCAGAGCTCACCACAAGACTCCGACGACCGCTGGGCATCAGACTGGCACACAAGCCCACATCAACCCTACGACAAGTGCTCACCCGAACTAAAGACCCACTCCCCGCCATGGACAGGACCGATGTCATCTACAAGATCCCCTGCAGAGACTGCGAGAAACACTACATCGGACAAACAGGAAGGAAACTAACAACAAGAGTACATGAACACCAACTAGCTACAAAAAGACAAGACCAATACTCACTCATCTCAATCCACATGGACAAGGAGAACCACCACTTCGACAGGGACAACACCAAGATCCTGGGACAGGCTAGGCAGAGACAAGCACGAGAATTCCTGGAAGCATGGCACTCCACGGAGCATGCTATTAATAAACTCATTGAACTCGACCCCATATACATTCCACTACGGAGGAAACCCGGAAGTGAGGCAATCCATCGCAACGGACCCCAGCATTTTAAAAACCAGGCGGGAAAACACAGCGACGCTTCATCAGAGGCTGCACTGAGGATGTTACCAAGCACGATAACAAAACATCTGCGGAACAACAAACCAGCTCGGCGAGCCAACGAACCTCAACTAGAGGGCATAGGTTTAAGATGAAAAAGGGAAGATTCTTAACGGACCTGAGGGTAACGTTTAACACAGAAGGTGGTGCGTGTATGGACCAAGCTGCCAGAGGAAGTGGTGGAGGCTGGTGCAATTACAACATTTTACTGGCATCTGGATGGATATATGAAGAGGAAGGGTTTAGAGGGATATGGGCCAAATGCTGGCAGACGGGACTAGGTCAGATTGGGATGTCTAGTCTGGGTGGAAGAGTTGGACCAAAAGGGTCTGTTTTGGTGCTGTCGGACTGTGTGACTCTACAATACTCCAGGTGTTGTTTCACCAAGGCCCCGCACAATGTCAATATCCTAATTTCAATTGAGCAGAACTTTTGTAAAGCATATGACCTTCAGCAACATGAGTAGGTCCATCCCTTTGCTTTTAATAATTAAAAAAGTAAAAAATGTAGTGATTTTTCCTGTTATGAAATACCAAAGGTGATCTTGTTTGGAAGCAGGGGTAAGAGAAGGTAGAACACATGCCAAAATCCCTTTGTTTTGATAACCACTCTTTAAATATAGATCAAAATGGATCTAATATTACTCAAGTATCTTATGTATTGACATACGTGACATACTTGACAGCTTTTGAAGTTCTGAAACAAAAAATGTATTATTGGTGAGAGAATGCAAACAGATGTAGCTGACCAGAGTGATCACACAAAACTAACAGCTGCCAAACACCCAGTTTTATCAAGATGGTAGCCCATTTAAAAAAAGCTGAAAACTGAAACAGATAACACAAAATAATTACAAAGGCTTTAACAACATCACTAATAGAAACAATTGATTAAGTTAAATGCTTTAAATGTTATTTGACGCCAG